TCTAAACTGGAATCATCAATGTTTTTCTTAAAACCACAGGGAGAAGAGATAAGGACAACCAACCAAGTTGGAGTTTCCCTACAGTGTATGTCTGGCAGTTTCAGAAGTCACTAATAACTCTACAGCCCTGAAAAGACGCTAATTCAGGTGGATGAGAAGGGCTCAATAAAGCCTGCTTTCTCCAGAATTCTACACTGCAGAGAATGTGTTTCAAGACAATTCACATGGATGCTCTGTAGTTCACAATCAAATAAAGCCACCAAATGAGACAAAAAAAATAATCTCGAGTTGCCAGCCATTCAGCTATATACCCGATCGTCCCTCTAGTTTCCACTCACCCTAGAAGGCAAATACAGCTTTGATTTTCTTTTATTCAAGTCCTTCAAAAGCTGATGATCTTTCTATCAGAAAACCCTCTCCTCAAATGACTGGGTATATTTTCCTCCTTTCTCTGTCCTTTCGGTAAGAGCCGTGTTTTAACCAGGCTGCCTGGCAACCCTTTGCGTACAAAATGAATGCGGGCATTTAACGGCTGACCTCAGCACCTCCAGTTGTAGGATTTTCATCATGCAACCATAGAGCGTCTTTTGTGTTCTGCCTCAGAAAGGCAGTCAAATGCCACCCCAAAGGACTTCCAAATGTACTTTCTCCACATCAAAGTGAAGGGATTGTAAGTGAACTGTAATCCCCGACTGCAAACAGAAGTGCTCACATTAGTGTCCTCCAATGGCCAACAATTCAAAAGGCTACTTTCCCACCCTTGCCATATGACCAGCATTAAGAAAGCAGAGGGCAGAGAAGAAATTTTTGGTAGAAGTGGCAAAAATGTAGTCAAATAAAACCACTAAAATCATAAACCCCAGAGTGTGCAAAGGCCAAGGGCAACCAAGAGAAACTGATGTAGGGAAATTCAAGATGGGCTTGAAAACTGAAAAAGAAACTTTATTTCTAGCCAAGACTTAAAACCCTTTAAGCTGTCAGTTGGCCCAGTTGAAGCGAGACACCTCATATTTCTTGAAAGGATTTGTGCTCTACGTAGTTGCTTATGTAATTTAGATATTGCTGTTTACAATGACTCGTAAAGCTGGCAGCAGAAGGTAAGTACAGAAGATTGAAAATGAGGCGGCTACTAGTAGGGAGAGATTCACTCATATGTTCCAGATGTACCAACTTCTAAAAGTTAAGCTGAATGTTATTTACTCAATTCTAGAAACTTTGCCTCAATTGAAACTGTTACCTAAAATTACCTAAAAGATAATGGGATATTAAAGAATTATGCAGAGAGCAAATAAAGTTACCAATATAACTCTTGTAAAACAGGCATTTTCTGGATATTTACCTCCAAACCACTTTCCAGACTTGCTTTTTTTTTTTTATAGCAACAGTCATGGCTAAAGAGTCCACTTAGCAATGTGCATTTCCCCTTAAGCATTCATTGGCAATGAATTCTGAAGTCTTCATAATGAATATGCAGATGTCCACTTAGCACACGTTCTATGTTCTCTAGAGAAGGAGTCACCTATTTATAGACACCTGCTTATGAGAAAAGACTGCAAATCAACTTCAGGTTCCAGGAACAGTAAATCTCCTTCCAGAGCTTCTGGCACCTGGCCCGTATCTGTTCCATTTTCAGGTATTTGGAAGTGAGGCTGTTCATGCTACGGTGTCCTTGAACCCTTACCCTCCACTTTTGATGCCTTAGACCAGTGGTTCTCAACCTTCCTATGCTTTGGCCCTTTAATACAGTTCCTTATGTCATGGTGACCCCCAATCACAGAATTATTTCACTGCTACTTCATAACTATGATTTTGCTGTTATGAACTGTAATGCAAATATTTTATATGGAGGATATCTGAGATGTGACCACCAAAGTGGTCATGACCCACCGGTTGAGAACAACTGCCTTAGAGCTTCCATTCTGGCTCTGAATCCCTCTGCCTCCCCTGCCTGTCACAGCAGGAATGGAAGCTGTGAGGCATCAAAAGTAGCGGATGAGGATTCAAGGACACTGGACTGAACTAAAGCTGGACCTCCCTTTTTTGATCCACTCCCTAGATATCCAATGTGAGACTTGTGCCCATTCCACTGGGCATGTTAGTACCAGTGAGGGGGATCTTGGTGGAGGGGATGTGCTCAAGGGGAGCTCTCTGGTAAAAAGAGAGGTGAAGGAAAGGGAGGAATTTAGGGAACAAACAGAAGTCACTCTGAATGATTCATTTGGTTTGTAGCCATCTTGGCAGTGACAATAGAATCAGAACTTCTAAAGTGAGACACTTCCTTGGACTATTAAGACTATGGAGGCAATGGATTCCAAGGACTTAGAATTTTCGAAGGCATCTCATTCTGAGAAAGGAAAAAGTTGAGGTCCTGGTGACAGCCAGAAGGGTACTTGTCTCCCAGCAAGAGATTTTACCCAGTGCCGACCACTTGTAGGGCAGACAAAGGACCTGTGTCTGTGATGGACCAACAATAAATAGGATCATGCCTTGCCCGGGGCTGCTGAGTTATGCTTTTGCTCTTTCTAAACTCAAACTTCATGCCAGTATCTGGAGCATGGATCAGAAGGTACACCGGATCTATTCATTTGTTCCTCTTCCCAGTGTAGCCTTACTGGATAAACATCCCTTCTCTGATTTTCACTATTACTTGTATCTTTTATTGAACTACTGGGGACAGGTAACTAAGCTACCTTGTCAGGCTGGCAGCGACCAAGCTTTGATGATAACAACTCTGGTAGCAACTTGACTCCTTTATTCATTCTGTCTATTAACTGTGAGCTGATTACCTGAGATGTATCAGCCCCAAATTCTTGAGAGCACAGAGCTTAAATCAATGGTAGAATGGTTGTCTAGCTTACAGAAGCTAGCCATAATGAGGTATATGCAAACAAAGTTGGCATTAGTGGGGATGTAGAGAAACAGACTTTAAAGGCTGGGGAAAAATTGACAGTCTAAAAGAATGAAAGTTTCAGATCACAATTTTCTGAGTTTCCCCAAATATCCTTTCTTTAATAGTGGAGAATTTTTAAACTGAAAACATTGGTGCCCAGACAGACATACGCCATCCCTTGTTCTGTTACAGCCAAGTGTGCGTATCACCAAATTGCAACCAAGTGGATTGGAGTAGTAGTGACAATTAAGTTTTCTGATCAGTGCCCTTAAAAGCAGTGTTTTCTTTTGCCCTTGGAGTCCATAAAGATACAGATGGAGTCATCCTTTTGGACCATCAAACAAAAAAAGCACAGTGAAGATTACTAAGCAACAAGATCAAGCTTCATGCCAACTCACAAATTCCACCCAGAATCGTTTATCTGATGTGTAATACTATCTTGTTTAAGTCTCTGCATTTTATTAAATATTTGGAGCCTATAGTAGTAATATATTACTTTGTTCACCAGAATCCATCTCTCTTACATCTTATGACTTATATAGGTTTATTGTGGGGAATTGTATCTCTTCTGTTCTAAGGCAGTTGGTATGGGTGACCATACCTTAAACCTTATTCTGGGTGGAGACTCCAATTGGCTTTAGTTTCTGGTGATTGATTTAGAATTGGAAGAAAATCTAAGCAGAGTCTGTAAGTGAGAAGTGGCTTACTCAGACTTCATGTAAAGGCTGCTGTTGAAGCTGACATTGCAAAGCCAGAATAGACCAGAGTACCACCGCACCCTTGGGGAGCCACCTCTACTTCTCCATTAATTATCACCTGTAGCCCTTCCTTTAGATTTTGTTTCTGTAAAGGAACTTTTTGTTTGCTTAAAGCCGTTTGTACCTTCTAACACTATGGAAGCGAGTCAACCAATGTAAATACCTTAAGTGCTTTGGAAAGAAGTAGTGTACAGAGAAGTCAGGGTCTCTTTGGAGAGCAGGGGGCTAGTGGGATAGGCAAAGATTGAGCAAGAAGACTTTCCTTGGTTTCTATTAACATTGCAGGAAACAACCCATAATATGGCACTGTTAGCCCCACGCCTTAAAGTCACATTTTCCATATAGGTTGCCTCATTTGAATTTCACCATCCCGAATCAGAGAAACTTAACTTTTTTTCTTTCTTGAGAACTTCATACATGAGGATTATTACATTCTTATTTGTGGTAATTTCTTAGCTAGCACTTCTTATAGTTTAAAATATTACTTCAAATCCCGTAGTTTCGAAATTTTTCACTATAACCAAATGAGGTTGGAATGGTGGATCTATCATTCATTTCAGCCAAAGAAAGTTGAGCCTCCTAGTTTAACACGAGGAGGTGGGGTTGTGGGACTGGCTTTAGTCTTGGCTTCTGGGCTTCTGTCCGTCACAGTTCTCTGAACCAAAGATACCAATTCCCAGCGGAGGAAGAAGGTATATTCCTAGGTCAATACCTCGGTGTTTACAGTGAGCTGGACATGGCCAAAGCATTCGAGATCCGAATTTGGTCACCTTGGCCAAGTCCCCTTTGTTCCACATCCTGTTCCAGGACCGGTTTGAACTCAGTTATCTGATGTCCCTTCCAATGCTAAAAAGATCTATAATTCTAGACCTGCTTCCCAGATTCATGTTCCCCAAATAATCATTATAACATTGGCTGATATTTATTATCTTGCTGGTACCTGAGACTATGCTGAGAACTCTGCCTCCATTTTCCTTTTAAACCTTACAATATTCCTAAGAAATCTCTAACAGATACAGAAACTTTAATAATTTCCGGAAGTCAAAGAAATGCCCTCAAGATCTGCTGGAAATCTGATTCTCTCTAGGTCAGAGGGGACCATCGCGGGCCTCCACTGAGTCTGTATTGATTTTGCTGAAGAAATTAAGGTCTGCATAACCTATAACCCTTCTCCGTGTCAAAAGGGAGAGAAGGGAACGAAAAAGGCAAAACAAATAGAGCTGTCTCCTCTAGGCAAAACCAGAAGGGCCTTGGAAGGACGCCAGAGGTTTCTTCCCTGGCCCAGGGGGCGGGGCGTCCTTCCCTCCAGCCACAGGATCCAACGTCCCACCCTTCCAGGCCGGGACCATTACCTTGTTGAGATGAGGGTTCCTGGTGACATCGTATCCTCGCTTCTTCAGGGGCACGGAGCGAGGCGGGCCTGACTTGGAGTGGCAGCCCTGGGCCGGAACGAAAGGTGCCTGGCGCCGGAGGGTGCCGCAGGCCATGCGTGGCAGGGAGGCCAGCCGCGGCCTAGTGACCAGCGCGGCGCCCATGGTCTTCGCGCAGATCTGGAACCAGGGAGAGATCAAGGTCAGGGGTGCCCTCTAGCCAAGCCAGGTCCTGCGCGCCAGCAGAGCGTGGGGCCCGAGTCAGGACACGTATTCTTGGAGAGGCTGGGGGCTCCCGATGGGTTCAAGGCGCCAGCCTCCGCCCCTCCCCCTAGGCCAACTGCTCCAGGTTCGGTCTCGATGCTCAGAGCCACAGCTTCACCCGGCAAAGCAAAGCGAAAGCAAGCTCAGAAAGCAGATCCCGTGCGGATGACAGCCCGTGCCATCCCTGCCCCCACACAGGAGAATAGGCGACTGCACTCCCAGGGGTCCCCACACTCTCAATCCCTGTGGTTGGCCTTGGTTCCTCCTTCCTCCCCTCACCTGGCTAGCTAATGCCTATGCAGTCCCACTGCGGGCAGGTGGGGTGAGGCTCTACTGTCCCCTGTGACTCTCTGATCAAAGACTGCACTGCACAGGCAGCAGCGTGAGATTGTGGGACTGATGCCTTCAGGAAAAGCAGTTCCCAAACCTTCCCTCATAGCACCAGACTTCCTTTGAGGATGCCTGCTTGGCTCTTCCTAACAAGACAAGATGAAGTTCGATTTCTTCCCACCTGGAAGCTTTTGCACTTTTTCACCCTGGCACTCTCCATCAAGACAGCACTGAATTGCACTGAGGTGTGAGCACTAAAAGCTCAACATTGCCTCCTTTGCTTCCACCCATTGAGCAAGGTCCTGAACAAGGATGCTGTCCAGTATAATAACCATAAGACGCAAGTGGCTATAATTTTCCAATAAATTCCTCAAAATAAAATACAACTGCAAACCCCTTTTTTGGTAAGCACATTTTTTGGCACTCGAGAGCATGCATGTATGTGCACAGGTGCAGAACACTCCCAGCTTTGTAGAAAGACCCTCAGTTTTAAATGGCCTCCTAGGAACCCCATGCTGAGGGCCATAGATGTTAGGGTCACGCCTGCACCTTCATGTCCACTTATCCATTAATTTAAAGGTGTTCTTCCTCCACACAGTAGCCAAGAGATTCCTTCTACAGGAAGTTTTTTCATTGTGTGTGAGCTAACATCCAAGTCCTCAGGAGGCCTTTTGGTTAACAACAGCCCGGCTCCAACTTCTCATGTTCATCCTGCTTCCCTCTGCATCACCCTTGAGGTCTCCTCTTGGTTTGTTTCTCCACCTTACTCAGATCCCAGCCTCCACCTGAGGGCCTTTGCATCAGCTATCACTTTTACATGGAATGCCATCCTCCAACCTTTGCAACCTCATCTCTCAGGTTACCCCTAATTGGTCAACTTGGAGGTCATTATTCTAGTTATTCCACTCAGTGTTGACCATCCCCAGAGGATACACAAAAAAAGAGTTTTTCCCTACATATAAATTAATATGCTAGTTAGTAGCTCATTGCACTGGTGGTTCATTGTCTGCTTTCTACTCTTAAAATACAGACTCACTGGGCTAGAGTCTTTGTCTGTAAATCCATTTGTCCTCGGGGCCTCGCATGTCTCTGTATAGAAAAAAAAGTTGGTGCATGAAGGTGAGTGACCACTCTCTTCATCAGGAGTATGCACTCTAAGAATCGCTGCCAGACAGATGGTATGTTTCTCTCAGGCATATCTTCTCACCCCATTCTTATGTCCAAAGTTTAAACTAGGCATGATGGTGTCATCAGGGTCCTCCTGCCTGGGCTCAGGATTTGGTCTCCTCAAGAATAATGGCCTTCATTTGAAGTCTCTCTCCTCTTTGCTCCAATTTCTAGTTCTCAATCGGAATGACCTATATTAAACCGTGCTTCTTAGAGCGTCATCAGACTTCCCTGTTGAGAGGATAGAGGCAGGGTCAACAGATTTTTAAGGTTCCACCCACAGGGTCTCATCCACTAGAGGTTAAATGCCTGGTTAGGATTATTCTTAGGCTGGATACTTACACAAGCCTACCATTGGTATTTTGATTAATAAAGCAAATTTGAGTTAGAGTTTTTACAGTCTGTAATCAAGAGCATTAACTTCTTTCAGTACTTTTTTTTTTACATTTTCATAATTACCTGTCAAACATCTTAAGGACATGCTTCTTTCTTCAGTAGTTAGTAGACAGCAAGTCACAAGAAGCTGTTCAATGAGTGTGCCCTTCAACACAATGATCTTTTCCATGCTTGGGTGTAAATCCACTCCTTTGAACCCCAGCTAGAAACAAAGATGCAGGGAACAGAAGGTTTCAAACAAATAAATGTAATGTTTACACCGTCAATTCACTGAAGCTATAATGTTTGCTTGAAAGTCTTTCATGTGTCATAATCTGTGGCTGATAACTTCATGTTATCATGTTGGCTACAGTAATGTGTTAAGCACAAGCCGTGGGGTGAATTGCAAGAGGAGGTGTGTTCTCAGGCCCTGTTTCCTCAGGATACAGATGCCACTCCTGCAGACCTCTGAGTGGAAAGTCAGAGAGGAATAGGAAAGGAAGTGGTTCTCCCTGAAGGAAATGGGATGCTCTTCAAGGAAGACTAGAAACTGTTGTCTGCCATAAAAGCATGGATGCTTTACCAAAGAATCATAGGATAGTCTATTACCAAAAGGAAGAAAAACTAAGATCTGTTCTTCAGAATGAACTGTACTAGAAATCTATATATAATACTCATTTTGTGGTGAGGAGCTTGGCATACAGGATAGGCTTGGAAACTGACATAACTGCTTTGTGGGTTCCATCTCTGTTTTGTAGTAACCTCCTTACTTTTTAAGATTAACATAGCATTTAAGAGACAACGTTTAGAAGCAAGGGAGTAACCTAGAACTTTCTAATTCCACAACAAACAAAACAAAACAGAACAAAATATCAACAAGATACCCTAACATCCTTAATCAGCCAGTACGGTAGTCTGTTATTGCATTAGTTAAGACTAGTGACTATCCATGATCTGCTTCCCTCCTCCCTTTCACACTCCACCTACTGACTTCTGCTGCCTTTGTAATGTAGCTTTCTGAGGTGACAAGATAAGTATCTCATTCCACCCCCTTACCAAAGGTTCCATTTCCAAATTCACCTAATACCGTTGCTTTTCTAGTGCAAGCATACAGATCTGAGTATGTGTGTGGTACTCTTCTGAATTGTGACTTCCTTGCAGACTGAACCCACCACCCCACGATGGGAACAATACTCCAGCTAGAAATCATATATTGCAAAATAAAAACCCTAGCACTGGGAGTGATTTATCACTTTTTGAGTTGGTGGCCAATGGGGTCCCAAAGACTCCCAAAACATTACAGGTTATTACCAAAACTTGGCAGTTAGACCTCATTGCTGAAGATACCATATACTTAAGTCATAGAACATCAAGAAAACTAGGTGCTACTCAACTGAAGCTTCATTTATATCAGATGGCACTCACAGTCTTGGAACGTGCTATACGTGCTGTGGGAGGAGAAAAGTAATCATCAGTCTCACCCAGCTATTAACTCCTTGAGACAGATTGATGATCTACCTGGTAAGATATGTTCCCTGGTGCAATAGTAGTGCTAATGTTATGGGAGTGATCAATTACTTTTTGATGTAACTAAAGCCTGCTCCATGAGATGCATCTTATACCAGACACTATCAATGAATCAGAGACTAGATAGATCATGGGTTCTAGAAGGAAATCTACTTATATTATTCTGCTAAAGGTGTGTTTTAATAAAACGACTCCTGATGGCATATTGCTTGCTATATCCATACATCAGTGAATGCATCACTCAACCTTCAGCAGAGATGCTGCTTCTTGCGGTAGACAGCAACTAACACAGAGACCCACAATTTATCAATCTACAGAAATAAGAGAATTTGGAATTCTCAGCCTTAAATGGGATGTCTATCATACCCCCCCCATCAAGGTTCAGGAATCTATGTGGAAAATGAGGTGAGAAGATTTTAAGAGCCAGAGGTGGTAGATACCTTCAAGGAAGCAGTGCTTTCCAGACTCATCAGGACAGGTGCACATAGAAACTCACAAAGACTGTGACAGCATGCATAAGACTTACATAAGAAAATTTAAAAAATCCCAGCAGGGAAGAGGGTAGATGGACATGAATTCCCACCCTTAGGCAAGGAGCTATTGGCATTTGATTGCAGCTGGATGAGGGAAAGTCAGTTTTCTTCCATGGAGTGATATTTGGTGTATGGGTCACACTCCAGGGAAGGTCCAGTTGGACAATGAAGACTGGATTCCATGGGATTTGTTTTGTTTGTTTTGAGACAGAGGAAAAAAACCCTAAAGTTGGGTGGGTATAAAAGAGAGAAAGGATATGGGAAGGGATAGAGGAGGGGGATAAATATGATCAAACATATTGTATGAAACACTTAAAGGATGAATAAAAACATTACTTAAAAAAGATTGCAACAATCATTTACAAGTCTTTATATCTTCAGTGCCTGGCTGACACAGAGAATACACTTGGTTTGTTGAATTGGCTTTGGACATTTGTCAGGCAAGGCCTTTCTCCACTTTCACTTCTGTTTAAATACCATTGTCTCCAGAAAGTATCTCTCAGTCACTAAGCTCATCTTTCTTCTTCATGGTCCCCAAATGTCTCCATATGTATCACTACATCATTAAAGCCAGTCTCTCTTGCATGTGGTTTATTTATATGCCTGTCTTCTCCTGAGCCTCTGGGGACCTCAGGAAGGCAAACAGCTTTAGATTCCAATGGTCTGGATTTTAGTAGTGAATAGTTCTTGTGACCTTGAGCATTTTAGTGACCTTTTACAGCCTCACCATCTTCATGCTAAAACTGAGATCCTACTGGTATTTCAAGCATTTTTTTGGTGGACGTATTTGCTTAGTTAAAGCACTTATAATGCACTGACATGATGCCAAGCACAGTTCTAAACATTAAGGTCCTCCACTTGAGATTTAGAAACTGTAAGGTAGTTCCATGGAAACTATGCTTCTAATTTTGATCATTTCCCAGGCTGTTCAGACTCACTCTCCTCACGCTGGCTAGCATTAGTAAACTATGGCTTCCAATTGATCAATCACAAGAATAAACAACTGGTGTTTGGCAGGGCACTGGCTGCTAAGCTCTGGAATTTGGGAAGTTGGGAGGTTTCTATTGCTGTGAAGACACACTATGAGCATGGCAACTCTTATAAAGAAAAAAAAATTCTTTTATTTAGAAACAATCATTTTACATATCAATCCCCCTTCCCTCCCATCCTCCCAT